GGCGGAAGTGATATAAAAGTGTTTATTACGTTTGAAATATGGATATTATTCTTACAAAAATGCATGGATTCACTACAGAAGGCCTTTATTCACCCCCGGAGCCATGTGAAGCACGTTTTATTATGGATGCGCACGCTTTATTTGACGACTTATGGACTGTTCAACTGCAACACCCGCTGACTGCAATGATAATAGCTTTAATGTTAATTTCCAGATTCAATATGATCAGTTTACCCATCTGTAACATCTAGTGCATTTAAAAATTACTTTTATTTATTTATTTTTCATTAAATTTTTTGCAGGTCGCCATCAAATTCATCCCCAAGTATGAAACAGACCAGTATATTCAAATAGTAAGTTGTCAAAACTTAATGTACACATTTAAATATGAACTACATACAAATTATCATTTAAAGGGTTAGTTCACCCAAAAATGGTAATTGGCTTGTGTTTTACTGACCCTCGAGGCATCTTTAGTGTATGACTTTCTTCTTTCAGATGAATCCAGTCGTAGTTATATTAAAAATTGTCCTGGCTATTCCAAGCTCTATCATTGCAGTCAGTGGGTGTTGCAGTTGAAAAGCTGTCAAATAAAGCGCGCACATTCATAATTTCATAATAAAACGTGCCTCACACGGCTCCGTAAATATATGAAATATCCATATTTCAAACGTAATAAACACTTTTCTCTCACTTCCGGTATCTGTCATACGCGGAAGCCGTTCCGGCAGATGACGCAGCACATAGGCGCAGCACGCACACCTCTGAGATATGCTAGTCTCGCGAGTTTGTTTATAGGAGCAAAGGAAGCAAAGTTTCCTTACTTTAGCAAAGGAAAACCAGTCTCCTCTTGGCTTATATCGAAATCCTCCGACATTTTTCTTTGCAAAACTTCGGTTTGTACTTCTAATTCGTGACCGGCGTTTTGTTTTGTTGTCTCTCCGCGTTCGTCACTTATCATGCAACGCTGATGTGCTACATCATCCGCCGGAACGGCTTCCGTGTATGACAGTTGGCGGAAGTGATATAAAAGTGTTTATTACGTTTGAAATATGGATCTTTTTCTAACAAAAACGCATGGATTCACTACAGAATGCCTTTATATGACCCCCCGGAGCCATGTGAAGCACGTTTTATTATGGATGCGCACGCTTTATTTGACGACTTATGGACTGTTCAACTGCAACACCCGCTGACTGCAATGATAGAGCTTGGAATAGCCAGGACAATTTTTTATATAACTCCGACTGGATTCGTCTGAAAAAATAAAGTCATATACACATAGGATGCTTCAAGGGTGAGTAAAACACAAGCCAATTTTCATTTTTGGGTGAACTAACCTTTTAAGAGAGGTTTCTAAAGACCCAAGAACAACTACCAAGCCATTAGTGAATAATTTAGTCAAGTCTGAGATTGATATCTCAACGAAGACAGACACTAAAGACCTGGACAGGAATGGGCTGCGAGGTTGCAAACCAAGAAAAACTCCTCTTCTGAAGAAGAGACACCTCCAAGCTACACATTTTCACATTTTCCCTGTGTGTTAACGTCAGTAATTATGACTGTCGAATGTCTGACTACTTGACTCTTGGTAATGTATTTTGCCCCGCCCCCAAACATATGATTCGACTTTCAGTCGACTATCAGCATGATTCGAAAATTCAGATTCGACGATGTAAATCCTTAGTCGGGGACACCCCTAATATAAACATAATAAATATACAGAGTACACACACATATATTATGTAAACAAAAACTTTTATTTCGGATGCAGTTAATCGCGATTAATCATTTGACAGCACTTTTTTAGTGCAAGGTTAAGAATAGTTGCTTGAATGAGGTAATTTGGGAAGATATCGAATAATTTATTGCGTCAAACCAATTTATGATTTCTCATAGCAGTTGTGCGTTTTGCACCCCAAGATATTGTCCTCTCTTCCTTTCCTCCGCTGCTTCTCTCCTCCTACGCCATCAGATAGGTGACTACTTGACTCTTGGTAATGTATTTTGCCCCGCCCCCAAACATATGATTCGACTTTCAGTCGACTATCAGCTTGATTCGAAAATTCAGATTCGACGATGTATTCAGATTCGACGATGTAAATCCTTAGTCGGGGACACCCCTAATATAAACATAATAAATATACAGAGTACACACATATATATTATGTAAACAAAAACTTTTATTTCGGATGCAGTTAATCGCGATTAATCATTTGACAGCACTTTTTTAGTGCAAGGTTAAGAATAGTTGCTTGAATGAGGTAATTTGGGAAGATATCGAATAATTTATTGCGTCAAACCAATTTATGATTTCTCATAGCAGTTGTGCGTTTTGCACCCCAAGATATTGTCCTCTCTTCCTTTCCTCCGCTGCTTCTCTCCTCCTACGCCATCAGATAGGTGAGGCTTTGACCTTAATTCTTCATGGTCTGTCAGCCGCTCCCGGGCTGGCACAGCGGGTCATCAATAATGTCTGGCCCAGCATTGCCCACTGTTGGCACGGTGAACCTGCGGCTGCACTGCGCCCTGCCAAGCCCCGGGAGAGTTTATTAATGAGACTAGCTTGAGTGGGCATAGGTGAGAAAGTGCGTGTATGTGTATGTGAGAGAGAAGACAGCCTTTTTTCAGTCTTGCTGCAGGGGTTCCAAACTGTAGTACTAGGGGTCTGTCTCCAAGATACCCATTTATTAGAGGAACCGTTTCACCAGTCATCTCTGAAACACGGGTAAGAGTCAGGAAATGCCCTGAGGGTCAGTTCCCCAGTGAACAACATTCACTGGATGCAAACACCTTCACACTGCCTGTCTTTCATAGGAAATGTGAACTTCTAGCTGTCTTATTGCATCAGAGTTATTATAGTTGTCTAAAACTAAAGTTAAAACCTTAAAAAACAAACACAATTAACAAATGTTAACTGAAATTAAATTAAATAAACAAACTAAAATTGGAATACAAATTTCAAAAACACACAACAGAATTGTTGTTTAACTTTAAGTAAAATTTAAATGAAAACAGAATTAAAACCGATTTACAACATTTAGAAAAAAACTGTAATAGTATCCCAATGATACTAAAATATCACTGCATTGCACTCCTTAGGTCCCTGTGTCATGAATCAGTATGTAGTGAAACATGAGTCTCTTAAAAGCTGAAAGATGATGGAAAAGATACTTATTTTCAGTTGATTTATTATTTAAATTATCTGATCATTTGGCAATGTAAAAGGTAGATTGAAAGAGTTTCCTCTTCAGGAACTCGAGCTGCGTCGGAAAACGCTAGGGGAAAACGCTTCTGAATAACATGTGAAATCAGTCCAATAGCTGAGCGGGACGTCACGGGCGGGTGACGTCATGACCAGAAAGCTATAAAAGCACGTACGGCGGAGCCAGCATCAGCTTTCTGTCATTCAGCGAAGCGCTCTGTGTGTCAGTCATATTTATTGTTGTCTGTCAACTGTGAAAGCTCCAGCTATGTATAAGCTCATGCAAAGACAAAGCATTTCAAGGTGTAGGTTATGTGTTCCTCCCTGCCCAAAGAAAACGTTATATCACAAGTGGGGATACACATAGCCTGTGCGTGGTTTGCTTGGGAGCGAAGCATAGTTGTTACTGCCTTGCTTCGCTCTCAGAGGGCTCTCTTTGAGAAGGGAGCCTTCACTAGCGTTCCTCGCGGTGCCGGCCCCGCTTTCGCCGAGGCGGAGCGGCGGCTGTGCTCGTGGGTTTCGCGTATGTATCTGCTTCCTAATCACCAGATCCGGCGCCGGCATTCTCGTTCCCCTAGCGTTTTCCGACGCAGCTCGAGTTCCTGAAGAGAAACGTCTCAGTTTATGTATGTAACCCTGGTTCCTCGAGGGAACGAGACGCTGCATCTCAGTGCCATACTTCCAGCATCCCTGCCAGCGCTTGCCTCATTCCTGAAGCTGATGCTGGCTCCGCCGCACGTGCTTTTATAGCTTTCTGGTCATGACGTCACCCGCCCGTGACGTCCCGCTCAGCTATTGGACTGATTTCACATGTTATTCAGAGCGTGGTCACAGAAGGTGTTCCCCTAGCCGGGCGGGTGACGTCATGACCAGAAAGCTATAAAAGCACGTGCGACAACAATAAATATGACTGACACACAGAGCGCTTCGCTGAATGACAGAAAGCTGATGCTGGCTCCGCCGTACGTGCTTTTATAGCTTTCTGGTCATGACGTCACCCGCCCGTGACGTCCCGCTCAGCTATTGGACTGATTTCACATGTTATTCAGAGCATGGTCACAGAAGGAATTCCCCTAGCGTTTTCCGACGCAGCTCGAGTTCCCTCGAGGAACCAGGGTTACATACGTAACCTGAGACGTTTTCATACATTTATTTCTTTAAAAAAATTATTTTATTGGAATTGAAATTGTTAGAACCAGATTCCTTAAATTCTTTATGATTCTCATCCCTATTCCTTGCACAGAGTACTTAGAGCTGAACTAGGGAGCAGATTGAGTGCATCAAAATTTCAGAAGAGCTGACACCTTAAATCAGTAGCCTCGCTTTCTCTGGGTCACTGTGGTTGTCACTGAGGAAGCTGAGTAGTCTCATTCTCCCACATCTATCCACCTTCACTCCTGTAATTACCTAAAAGCATTTGAATACGATCATCAGAATGACAGATTGTAGGTGTCTGGATAAGCTTGGTTGTAATGGGAAGACTGCTGTTCCTGTGTCCATGTTTGCCTAAATATATGTGAGCGTGTTGAAATGCAAGTGTGAAAATGCTTTTACTCTTGACAGCTGGAGCATCAAAGTTTTCTAAGAAACCTTTAAGTCACATAGTCAATAGATTATTTACTTTCTCTGTAAACTTTCCTGCCTGTCATGCATTTTTTTATTAAAAAGCTATGCATTTTTTGGTAGAACAAACCAAATGTAGCATGTATGCATTAAAAAAATGCTCTGCATTTGCTCTATACATGATGTGTGCTTTTAGTTTATTGAGAGCTAATTTTTTTCCCTTTAACTGCTCAATGATGTGGATCTTTCTGTATGTATTTGGAAAGTTACTAAATACTTTCATAGCAGACCTTGAAGAGCTCCTCTCTTCTATACAAATGGGAAATTATTGTCTTTTCTGCCATTTTCGAGGGCAGCTATTAAGGCCACAGTTCACTGAGTCATCTATACTTGGTAAATGGACATATTTTAGATTTTTAATAATATTGTTTTAATTGATTTGAATAGTTTAAAGGGGTCATATGATGCTTTTTTTAAAGATCATCATTTTGTGTAATTGGTGGAACAGAATATGTTGACATGATGTTGCTAAGTTAATGGCATGCCACAGCACACATTAAAATACATATTAAACTAAATTAAATTAAATTATGAACTGAGCTGTTTTTTATGTTATATGGTCAGTAGGTGTGACTGTAATAACAACTAATCAACTGTAATCAACTTCTATTTTCCTGGTTGAAGTGCATTCTGGAATTTCCTCTGTGAAGGATGCATTGCTGATAATACTATCCAGAAAAGTAGGTATCTAAGGCATGGAACATGTTGCTAACCAAAAGGCATAGGTTATCATGTTCGTGGAATAGATTATCATGACTTTGGTTGCTTTGGAAGTGTGCCTTAAAATGCCATCTTGGTAGGAAGCTTGTTACATTTCGATCATTACAAATCATAGAGCTTCAATCTTTATTTCACAGCAGGCTGATATCACTGTCTTCTAAAGGGAGAGGAGCGTGCATGTTGCCTTAGCATCAGCAGAGGGCCTTTTTGTGTGTGCACAGCAGGACGGCACAGCCATAATTAAGACAATTAATTCAAATGGAGAAGAGCGTTGCACATTAGCCAAAATGTTTGCACACTGCTGATTTCAGCCGCTGGCTTTAAGAAATGTCAGTGCATCAGGGCTAATCTGATTAAGTGTTTGTTATTTGTTAATGCACAATTAAAGGAAGGGGAGAAAAAAAGTAGTGTGTGTCTCACATATACTCACACTCTCCTATAGAAATGCCCAAAACCTCTTCATAACCACAATGGTTGATAAGTATTAAACATAACACATTGGTTAACCTCATTTGTAAGGGTGTACCAATATATCACAATACATGTATTGTAAATAGCAACATTATGTATAGTGTATAGTTTACCAAAAAAAAAAAAAAAAAGCTTGGACAGATTTAATTTAGGCTTTTATTCACATATAAACAATGATCAATAAACATACAAAGAACACATCAATTATGATAAACCTGGAAGCTAACACACATTTGAGCTTATTTGTTTAGTAATTATTAAATATAAATTCAAATGCATGTATATCTATTACAGTATACTTTATGTATAGTAATTTAAGAGAGAGAGACAAAAGAAAATTTAACTATACACTATATCAGTATTTTGTATTGAACTGAATTGTGATGTATGTAATAAGCAATATTTTTAGATTTTAAAGTTACTCACAAAATAGCACGACCTTGGGGACTGCCAACCTATCACCGTCTTCTCCTTTCAAATCTCTAGAAAATTGGTGTATCTCTCTGTCTTACTGTCTTTCTTTCAATTTGCATCTCTTTGTCTACCTTTCTCCCGCTCTCTGACCTTGGCCTTATCATATTAAAGCTCCTCTATTTCCTGTAAGAGCTGCTCAATGGCTTCGTCTCCAGATTGGGCTGTTAGGGAAGAGTTCACTAGGCGCCTATCGGGCACATTTATCCCAGACTGTTCCAGAAATGAGTCAAGCAAATAAGCAGGGGAGGAGATGCTGGCCGTGCAGATGGCTGTCTCTGACACAGAGAACAAATTATTCACCCCATAGAGGCTAATGTACATTAGCGAGGCGGCATCTGCTGCCGGGAGGAGACGACAGGGACAGGTATCCCCACAACTCTTCTGCTGTGAGCCACACAACTGCAGGCTTTACAAAACGCTCATTAATCCACCGCTGATGGTTTGGTCTCGCTACAGTCGTACAGCAGGGGAACTGGAAGTAGAAAAAGCCTCAATATGACTTATCAGTGCTAAGAGATAAAGAAAGAAAGACAACATAGTACAGCAGGGACATATTCACCTCTTTCCTCTCCCTGATTTTCATCCATTTAAAGCTCAGCGTTATGTACTGTATGATTGTCTAAATCACTGAGTTTGCTATAGGCTCAAAATGACCCAAACACTCAACGGTGATTGACTGTTATATTTGCCATACTTTACAGAAACTCATACTGTAATTGACAACTAAACTCCACATGCTGCAGCACCAGTGTGCGCTTTAATGTTTATCTTTCAATTCAGCTGTTTAGGGGCCTGCCATTCTCACCATGCCTCGACAACCGCTTGTAGTGAGTTAGTCATAAGGGGCAGCATAAGAAACAAATAACAATTCGACAACCATGCAGCAAATGTAATATTCAGAAATGTACATGGTGGCGTTCGGTGAAGCTCATATGAAGTGATATGACATGTTGGGGAATAATTTGAAAGGGTTTGTCTGTGAAATCTGTTCCCAATTCCATTTTATTTTATTTATTTTTTCCAAATTCCATTTATTTTTTTCAATTAAATTTTTTTTTAAATTTAGTGGTGAAATTAGATTTTATTAATCAAAAAGCATGTCTAATTAATTTAAATATTCAATAATATATACATTTAAACTTACACAATTTAACAGCAATTTATGAAAAGTTTAACAAAAAATAAATTTTTAAGGCCCTAAGAAATACATTTAATTTTTTTTTCAAATTTAGTTTTATTTATACCAAATTCTGTGTTTTCCATTAATTTTCTGGATTCCATTTTAATGGTTTCATTAAACTGTAATAATCAAAAGCATCTCTAAATAATTTATTTTATTAGAAACATTCATTCATTCATAAAGATTGTGTTGTCTATTTACATTTTTCTGGTAAATAATGTTTCCAGTAAATATTTCTTAAATATAATGTTTTAATAATAATTTGATTATTAGTAGTAGTATATAATTTCATCAAGTAAAATATTTCTGTCACAGTTTCTTCAATTTAAACCAAACTTTTATTTTCATGGGTTGTTGTAAAGACCTTTAAGTTTCTCTGTTTGTATGACATGACGATAGTTTTTCTCAAAAGAAACAGTAAAATGATCATGAAGTGACTCTCAGAGCAGTTTTAGAAATTCTGTTCATGTGTTCATGTTCCACGTTATACAGTAAATTCCATTTTTATGACTGGATTCCGTGATTCTGTCCGCATTCTCGCATCGTGGAAATCATAGGGCCCTAATTAAAATAAAAAGCCTCTCGAGGCTGTTGTTTTTAAGATGAGTAATTTAAATCACCCAAAGTGTGGTAAAATAATGCAAGTAACAAATATTTGTAACAAAAATAACTTTGTTTGCAGTAAAAGCAATATGATAAACACTCCATTGTTTAATTGTTTGTTTACATTTGTATGATTTGTAGTAATATGATCTGTTTGATGAATATCTAATATGATCTGTTTGATGAAGATCTAATATTTGTCTATTGGCTTTTTAAATTTTTGCAGTAAATTGCATTTCTAAGTTTCAAACTCAGTTTGAAGGTTGGCCATCTGAGTGCCATCTGTGTCGGCTCTTGCGGTTAAAACTTTTGCTTAAATCTGATGTGTCTTTGAAAGCCAATATGGAAGCTGACATCTGTTCAATCTCTCCAAATGCTTCTTGCCATCTTATCTGTAGGAGATCTTTCTGATTGACCCGTGGTCTCCAGAAAATGTTCAATCTATCTGGTAGATGATGACCTGCTGCGGTAGCTACAGTAATTATCTGTATGATTTGTTTTCACATGCTAATTCAATGTAAGCTTATCTATAGCTTATCTATCAGCAGATATTTGATCATAAGGGCTATTTGCAAGCAAACATATTGATGTTCTGGTATCTACAGTGCTTTTTATTGAATTAGGCAAAATTATTTTGCTCCCAAAAAACATGCAATTTCATCATCCTATTATAGCAGTTCAGTATAAAGACCACTGATAACCAACCCATTTAAGAATTTGGTAATAAAGACAATATATTTGCTGGGAATAGGACATAACACAGTCTTTCTGTAGAGGCCAATGTGTGGAACTGAAAAACATGCTATATGGGTGGGTCGGTCTTCTAGAGGGAGAGAGATGTTGAGCGATACAGCGTCTGGATGTAGCTAATACGAAAATGACCTTTTCCAGAAATATATTGCATTGGAAACCGACCACATTTATTCAAGCTACAGTGACCCATGCCTAGTAATGATTTTTGGATTGATCCACTGCTCTTATGGAGAAAAAAAAAGTTATTGGGTTGATACCTGCACTCCAATATTTTGTTACATCCCCAGCGCTGACTTTTTTTTTTTTAAAGCCATTTCCAATGAATATACTGTCGGTGCCATTTTTTGAGCTGACTTAGAACTTTTGTTGGTACTGCCAGGCCATGACAGGATGCAATTGAAATTGTTATTGATTGTTGTGAATTTCTAAAGTGAGCCCACACATAAACAACATCTTAAAGGTTCTGTAAACAATTTCAGTTATAGTGGTAACTTCCAAAATTTCGTTAACTTCAACCACACGGCCACTCTCCAAAACTCCATCCAATTCACAGACAAAGAATGTTTCTGATTAGACAGTTTTCTGATTTGTATAAATAATAATAATAATAAAGTTAGTAATATAATTATTACTAATAATTATATTATTTAAGGCCATTTTTCCCCCTCTTTCAAACCTTTCACCTGGGTATGAAGACTCTGTTGGACAGAAGTGCTATATTGTCTGAATTGGAGTTGCAAAGCCTAATGACAGCTGTTTAGTACTGGAAATAGGGGACATGTTCCTGCTATTATGCTGGTGCATGATGTTCTTGTTGTTGACATTTTAGCATGTTTCAGGTCAGCTTAGTGTGATTTGAACTCCATGTCCCCCCAAAAACCGTTCATATAGTACCACAGGGTTGAGTCAGTAGGAAAAACTAATTGCATTCCTGTGTCCTCTTCCTGCTTGTATGTACAGGCTGTTGAAGAGCCTTTGACCCCTACAATCAACCTTTCTTTTTCTCCTTATACTTGTCTTATATGTCTTATATATGAAATTTTACATTATTTGCTTTGTCATTTTTTTCCCAGTCTAGTGTGCACTCAGATGGACACACCATGTACTTGGCCGTTCCATTTAGTGTATACATTTTAAAAGAATAGAATCATCTCAAATTGAACATTAGCCTTTTATTTTTGTCTACACTGGAGCATCATCATTTTTCAGTTTGTTTTTGCTACTAGTTTAGCATGTTCAGTATGGTTGCCAAAAAAGTTTTTTTTTAATTTGATGTATTATTTAAATATTGATACATAAATGTGAGGTGGTGGTAAAGCAAGACACTCACATTTGTAAAGTGCTGTTTCGTTCACAAACATTTCCATAGCGTCAATGTTTGCCATCTTGTGAGCAACGTGCAGGGGAAAAAATTGCTGATTTTTGCCTAATCGCAATTGCGATTTAATTTCAATTAATCGTGCAGCCCTACTTTTTTGTAATATTTACTGCTTCTTACTTTGTTACTGTCTTTGTATTGCTTAGATTACAAAATTGTGTAGAATAAATGTGACTGGTTTTCTGAAGCCAACTACAACAGGGTAGTTCATCCAGCATATAGCCCCTTAAACATGCCAGATTTATTCTCTTTCAGTTTAATGGCAAAGGACGGACTTTCTCCGTTATTACTCTGCAACGGGGAGTCCAAAGATAGGCAACATGTCGATGCCATGGACCCAGAAATGCAATGACAATGTTAATTTGGTTATGTCTGAATTATTGTATCTCCTGCTGCCAGATGGGACTATCTGTAATTAGCCCAGTGAAGGAATCGCTTTTCCGTTTTGGCAAGGCTTAATGAATATGAGTCTTTTTCAATATGAGACTCAAAAGACCATGTGGATTTTTTGCTAAGGCACCTGGGCCAGTCTCTCTAGCGCTAATGAAATCCTACTGGAAACAAACTGGCTGGTGCAGACAGTCTTCAATAAAGCAACAGATTCTACCATTTATCCTTCCTGATTGTGCCAGAAATGAGACCTTATGGTTTTCGCATCCTTTTTCTCCCGCTTCATCTCTTTCTCATCCTCTCCGAGTCCCTGACCTTTCCTGGCGCATCTGTTTTGACAGATGTTTGACTAAAGAGATTTGGCTGGATGTTCTCTCTGTGGTAACTTAAGTTTCCCCGCTCCCTGCTTGATATTGTTTCACTAGCAGACAGTTACCAAGAACACCTGCTAGTGTTAACTCGACTTACTGCGTGGCACTCGGAGAGTCATTTAGGTTCACCGTGTGTTCCGCGTTTCTGCACTCACGTGCGACCTTGCAGGTACCAGCCACCCTCCAAGACTCAATTATCGTCAGGGATCATTGAGGGGGACGAGTTGTGGTATTTTAGCGCACTTATTTAATTGCACAGAGCTTGATTAGCCATTTTGGTGAATGGTCCCTGCGTATCTTAATGTGACTAAAGAGAAGCTTGATTTTGTACAGTACAGTTTGTCTCACTCTGTTTTGTGCGCATTAGCAGTCTGTGAACTCCGGCAGGCTTGCTTAAGGGAAATTGCAGTCTATATTATTAGGTATAAGACACTTTGTCCACTATCATGAAATGCACTAAATAACAAAAGTATACTGTATGTGAACCAATTTCTTTTTACATACTATCTATTCAATCAATCAATCAATATTTAAATTAATCAATAAATAAAAATACAATGTTATTTATTTATTTGTTTGTTTGTTTGTTTATTTCCAGTAACGAAAAAAGTATATGTTTGTCACATGCTTTAGATAAGTATTAATTAATTAATTAATTCATTCATTAATTCATTCATTCCCTAATACTTTTTTTAACAATTCTTTGTCATATTTTCATGTCTTTTCTACTTCTTAATTTAGTTAAAGGGGTCCTATTATGCTTTTTCACTTTTTCAACTTTAGTTAGTCTGTAATGTTGCTGTTTGAGCATAAAAAAAGATCTACAAAGTTAAAAAGTTCAAAGTCCTCTTCAAAAGGATATATTTTATTTAACAGAAATCACTTTTCAAAAACTACAACGAACGACTCGTTTGGACTAAAAACGCATGTTTTCCAGGATTTGTGATATCACAAATATCGACGAATGGGATGAGACCTGGCTGAGCTGCACTAGAGAAGGCAACGCGTGTTATCACTATGTCGGAGACATGCTAGCTTTCCCAAGGCAGACGAACTTGTGGTTACAATTATCCGGGTTTAAATCGAGCTCAAATTTATTTGATTTCGATGCAATATTTACACTGAAGCTGGCAGGCGGCTATGGTAAGGGGCATGACATTTCCCGACCAGGCGCCGAGTGGTGCCAATCACAACACACATTGGCCCAGCTAACCAATCACAGCCCATTTCATATTTCAGGAGGGCGTTCATTTGATACAGGAACTATTCGAGCCGTTCATGCCAGACTGGGGAGAGAGGTGTTGTAATAATGTAAAATATGTGAAAAATAATGTGTTTTTCAAACAACCTAGTATGAGAACCTGTTCTAGTACACCCCCAAAACAAAATCAAGACTTTGTAAAAGAGCATAATAGGACTCCTTTAAGTATATTCTTAATATTAATACCCGTTTCTTTATGTATGTATTTACTTACTTATTTGCCTGTTTAATTATTAAGTGATCAGTAAATTTTTGCCTCAGACTTTAGCCCACGATTGTAAAATCCAAGCAAACATTTTTTATTTAGGACACTGTTGCAGTGATCCAATCATTCAGCGAGAGAGGGAGAGAGAGAGGGGTCGAGAGAGGAGAGGGAGGACAAGGTTTTGCAATGCACACCTGTTGCTGCCACATGACCCACTCTCAAGGCCAAATAAACCCAGTCTCTGCTTTTGTTCCTCTACAATTTCCATTAGATGCCTAATTGTAAGGTCCATATTTTTCATTGCTGACAGGCTGCATTATAAATATATTCAGTGGCTGCTGCAATTACAGCATTTTCCATTTGAAATTAACAAAAAAAGATGTAATGAAGTGACCATGTTTCCATTATGTGACCCACTTAAATGAAATTTCGAAATCCATCCGACTCTGTCGATCTATGATTCCGTCCATCTTGTGCATATTTAATTTATTTAATGACCACAGTTATCCAACACTAATAGTCCCTGTGTGTGAGAAAGTAATTGCCCTCCAGTTAAATCAGAATAATTAATGCGGTTATTAGAATCAGGCGACTGCACACAGCCCTGCAGTGTAAAAATCACTCCTTTAGATGTCCCAGCACTAATCACTGAGCAAATTGTGTCATGATCACTGCAACTATTTGATCAGTTTATGAAATCTTCGGTCTGTCTACAGATTTAGAAACATCTCCTGACAAAAAATTTAATAAGAAAGCAAATCTTTGTCCACTTATTTATATGCTTCTTTTCTATTGTGGGCTGTGTGCAGATACACTTAATTTTCCACATGTTGGCTCTAAACCAAATACACACACTGACCTGCACAAAGCCATCGTCATAGCAACACACCATCTCTCTTTCTATAGCCACCATTCACACCTTCATATCTCTTAGCATTTTTATTATTATTATTATTATAATTTTTTGCTCTTTCCTTGTCTTTATAAAAATATCTTCAGTAGGTGGAAGCTGGAATGTAAAGTTTGATATCATCTGTTTAATGAGTAATCTCAATTCATCTCAGAAAATCTGTTACAAACTTGTGTGGCGTTTGCTTATTTAAGCTTGAACAAATATTATTGGTTTAAGACGAGTTAAATGAGTAGTAAGTCCTTGAATCTCATCTTAGCTGTCCTTAGCAAGTTTGTGAGAGTTTATCAGAGAAGAAGCAATGCCTTATTTGTGAATGAATCACTCATTTGAGTTGCAATATTTTCAATGAATTGTTGATTTGGATCACACGACTTGTCAGGATGGTTAATTCTTTCAAAAATCAGACTGACTTTGTTCTCAGTATCAACTCACCTATTTGATGATCTGTTGCAGCGGTTATAAGCTCAATGGAGGAGATAGTTATCAATAAATTATGACTTAAATTTAGGTTTGTTCTCCACACAAACCTATTGCATGACTTCAGAGTCACATGGACCACTTTATGGTGCTTTTGCATCCTTTTTGAAGTTTAAAATATCTAGTCCCTGTTCATTTTAATTAATTAAACAATACTGTTCTTATTGTTAACTAAAACTATTAAAAATTGGTTTTGTTGAAATAAAGCTGTAATTAAATAGGCTATACCTACACTCTTAAAAATAAATGTTCTTCACGATTCCATAGAATAACCTTTTTTTTTTGTCTAAATGGTTCCATAAAGAACCTTTATGTTTCACAAAAGGTTCTTTGTGGAGAAAGAAGGTTCTTCAGATTATAAAAAGGTAAGAAAGAGATGGTTCTTGAAATAACCTTTGACGGAATGGTTCTTTGTGGAACCAAAAATGGTTCTTCTATGGCATCACTGTGAAGAACCTTTTAACCACCTTTATTTTTAAGAGTGTATTAGATGACAACATTAAATCTTCCTGACACTAAATTAAAAAGAGTTTTAAAATGACTAAAACAAAAACTTATATAAAAAAAATAAGTAGTAGGGTGAGCAAATAAATGTGAGTGAATTATTATTATTATATATAAAACTGCACTGAAATTGTGATGCCCAACTTACGAAGTGCCCCGTTTTCTCTGCTACACATTTTCTTACTTTTTTCTCTGTACATGATTAATGGCATAATCAAGCATCCCTCCCTGCATGTAAGACTAGAGGGGATGTGAGAATAAGCATTTTTCATACTCGGATGGATAAGATTATAGCTTATAGGATCAGATAAAATGTATCTCTGTCTCCCTTTGCTTTATTTTTTAAAGTGGCCTAGTTTTAAAAAGTTCAACACATAGCGGGACAGCATCAGAGAGGCAAGCATGTGATGTGAGAGACTGAGAAAGAGAGGGGCAGTGTGAAGCCACAGGATGCTGCAAGGTGTGTGTACATGTTGGTTTCATTTTTGAAAGAGCGATGCTACATCTAAAAAAAGAAAACTTTGTAAACCCAGTGGTATTTTATTCCCAGAAGCACTCTGCGCATTGTGGTGGATACAAAAAAGCGTAGCGGCACAGTCGGCGTGTATGAAAAAAGACACAAGTCGTATTTTCTTTTCTCTTTCTGTAGAAAGAGGATGTCCCTTAGGCTTGAAGGGCAGAGTGGTGTTTAATAGCAAAGTTGTATCTGTGTGTGTGTGTGTGTGTGTGTGTCTATTAAGGAAGTCAAGCAGGTACAGACGAATAGTCCCATCACTGTGAGTGACATTGATTAATGAAACACAGTCCTTGTAGCACACACACACACACACACACACATACACTGAAGCTATGGCATTCCATGACAACATTAAAGTGTGTCACACTCACACTGTGTCTCATGTTGAATCTAAAGATACCTGGAATTCCTTTGAATCAAACTAACTACCCTGTTACACGCTCCCAAATTAAATTTAAGACCATCTGGATTATTATTATATGTTGAATCACACACAATGTTTGACACAGTGTCTGGGACTGACAGGAACAGATTAGGGTTGGGCTATATGTTAAATATGTACTTTTCATATAATATTATGTTATGATTCAATATGTTGGTTGATATATAATATATTCACCCTGATTGTGCTTTAGGCCCTTCTCCACAGCACAGTGGGTTTATTTGGATTTTGTGCACAGAGCTTGAGCTGGAGTCGAGCCTGTTTTGCTGGCAATATAAAATTAAGGAACATGGTGATTGATGTTAATGTGCTTTTTATTTGGCCATTACGTCTTCTAAAGAGCATGCCATTAGACTAGTTTCACGATTAGACTAGAAAATGCTCATTAGACTTGTTTTGCAAGCCCTCCATGTCTTGTGACATGATTATGAGTGTGTTAGGACTGTAATGTTGTCTCAGCATCCCTTATTTAAACTTCAGCTGCAAAAAAATAAAATAAAAATGCATTAATAACTTTGATGTAAGCAGAAGTCTCTTATGCTCACCAAGGCTGCATTTATTTGAGTTAAAAACACTATAATTTATAATATAATATTAATATATTACAATATAATATTAAAATTACATTTATTAATGTGAGGGCAAAACATTACTCCAGTCTTTAATCTCATGATCCATCAGAAATCATTCTAATATGCTGATTTGGTCCCCAAGAATCATTGCGTCATATTATTATCTTATTAGTATTTTTGCAGCAGTTATGCTGCTTAATATTTTTGTTTATACTCTGTATATATGTTTAGACAATAACTAAATAAATTAAATTAATCCAATGAAAATGCTAATGATGATGTTTGCAATTAATTGTTCATTTATTCATATCTGTATAGTAGTTGTTATTATTTTTGTTTTTGTATTTTATGAATGTCCACATATTATATATTATCCAAATTTATTTATTTGTTTGTAACAATATTGGCCATTCATTCAGCGAATTCACTTTGTATCTCTTTAAACACAAGGGATTGAGAACGTCTAGGTTACGTACGTAACCCTCGTTCCCTGATGGAGGGAACAGAGACGTTATGTCATGACGACATAGGGGGTTTACTTGAGAGCCCCAATCCACTCTGACTTTAAGAGAAAACGCCAATGAAATTTGGCTAGTGGATTTTGCATGCCTTAGCCACGCCCTGTGCATACGGGTATTAATGGGCGATAGGTGCATCCACCCATTCAGGTTTTACGCTGAGGAGCCGAGAACATGTCCCTGGCAACCAGTCTGACTGGGTGCTGGAGGATACTCAACCAGGGTTCGCCATCCGGGGAACTCTACTGGAAGAGAAAAAAGGCACATCCCCGGGTGAGGGGGAATGGTGTAGCAAGCGTGACACCGGCCAGTCCTTCCTGCCACTTACCTATTACCCAACACATGGGAAGAAACCGGCTCTCTGTAGAATCTCACAAAGGTGTTCGGTGTCGCCCAGCCCACAGCTCTACAGATGTCGGCCAGAGAGGCGCCATGCACCAACGTATAGGTGAAGGCGATACTCCATGTCAGGTGAGCTCTCACCCCAGGGGACATGGCTCGCCTTGGGACTGGTACGCCAAGGCGATGGCATCCACTATCCAGTGGGCCAACCTCTGCTTGGAGACAGCCTTCCTTTTCTGCTGACCACTGTAACAGACAAAGAGCTGCTCAGAGCGACTGAAGCTCCGGGTGCGGTCCACGTATATGCACAACGCTCTTACGGGACACAGCAATTTTAAGTATGGGTCTGCCTCCTCCGAGGGCAGTGCTTGCAGCTTCACCACTTGATCGCGAAAAGGCGTGGTGGGAAACTTGGGCACGTATCCAGGCCGGGGTCTCAGGACAATGTGAGAGTAAGCCGGCCCAAATACAAGGCACTCTTTGCTCACCAAAAAATGCTTGGAGGTCTTGGAGGCATGATGGAAGTGAGCGCGGGCAGGAGCGCTGTCTTAGTAGACAGGAATTTAAGCTCGACTGAATCCAGCGGCTCAAATGGATCCTTATGAAGGCCAGCCAGGATGGTAGAGAGATCCCAGGAGGGCACAAGGGGTGGCCTAGGAGAATTTAACATTCTGGCACCCCTCAGGAACCTGAAGATGACATCGTGCTTACCCAGGGACTGGCTGTCCACTGCATCGTGATGTGCTGCGATAGCAGCCACATACACTTTCAAGGTGGAGGGTGACAGCCTATGCTCCAACCTTTCTTGCAGGAAAGAAAGCACTACTCCAATCATGCATCTTTGGCGAGAAAAACACCAGTTCACGAAGAGACTCCACTTCAGTGCACAGGCTTGCCTCATAGAGGGAGCTCTAGCCTGAGTGACGGTGTCTACCACCGCCTTGGCAGGTCACTTAAGTTGCATAATTGCGTACAGCCCGAGGCCAGCTGTGTGTCAGTGCATCCGTGCCGAGGGGGGCCTCGGTCAGGTAGGAATACAGCTGGCAGTGGGAGGACTCGTGGGAAGCAAACAGGTCTTCCTGGGCTTCCCAGAATCGACTCCAGATCAGCCAGATCATCTCGGGATGGAGTTTCCATTATCTGGGGAATGTGAGCTGTTGTGAGAGCACGTCGACTGCAAGATTGAACTCCCCCAGAATGTAGATGGCGCGCAGCGACTTGAGCCGCGTCTGACTCCAGAGGAGGAGATGACGGACGAGCTATGACATGCGACGTGATCGTAGACATCCCTGCCAGTTGGTTGTCCAAGTGGACCAACACGTGCTTGTCTTGTTGCAGTGGCCGGAAATGCCGCAAGGCCAGATGCACTGCCAAATCAGTCGAGGCCCTGTCCAGAGCCCCGAGGCTGCCTGCCCATAGCGTGTAGCACCCCAGCCCGTACTGGAGGCATCTATTGTGACAACGACATGCCGGGACACTTGTTCTAAGGGCACCCCGGCCCATAGAAAGACAAGGGCTGAATAGGTGGCGACACTCCGGCGTGATGGTCACATGAAGTGTGCTGCGATGCCATGCCCATCTCGGAACTCGGGAGTGTAACTAGTGCTGAAGTGGAAGCATGTAGCAGGTGCAACTGCTCTCGTGACCGGGCCATGATGAGCCAGTCGTTGATTATCCTGATGCCCCCTTCCTGTGACGGGGCAAGGGTGCCCTCTGCAACCTTTGTAAAGACACAGGGGGACAGGGACAGCCCAAAGGGGAGTCTAAGGGTACTACCATGACCAACCCTCGAAC